AATAATTAATAAAAATAATATAACCCAGGGGTATAATTGGAAGAAAGTAACAAAAACTATAAGTAGCGTTTCAATAAGTTAGTTCATAAGCTACTTTCTACTAATCCAAACGAGGCTTATGCGACAAGCTCAAAAAATAAACTAACTTATGTTTGTCAAATATGGTCGAATGCATAAAAATATATAAGTGTAAAATTGACAGTTTAGTGTTTCATTTAACTTAGAATTGAAGAAAAACATAAATTAAAACAAAATATATTTTCCCCAACTTGATGACAAGAAGAAAACGCTATTATTGATTTTTGTCATGTCTCTATCTAACCCATCGTAATCGATAATTTAATTAAAACAAAAAACTTGTACATAGGACATGACCCAACAACAAATTTCATGTGTTAGTATTAGCATTAGTTGTCCTCTTGGATAGAAGGTGTAGGCCATAAATATTAGTTTTGTCATATTAAAATGAGTTTGATTAAAGATGGGCTCAAAATTTGTTCATTTTGTTTTTAACTCATTAAACCACATTACCTTGATTTTTTAGAATCGTTTATTGAACATTTACCTTAATAAATGCTTAAAAGTTCAATTATCTTACAGGATAAATATAACAAGGACCGAGAAACTTACATGGTAAAGATGAAGGCAAGGATTGGTAGTTTTACCTAGTAAGTGGGGATGATGACTTTTATCCAATAAACGCCTCACTTACCATCAATCCATTTTGATGACTGAGAATGTTATGTCTTACTGTAAATGAATTACAGTAGTAAACAACCCTTTGGTGGTGTTAGCATGCCAAATAAAGTATCAGGTTGTTTTGTCTCAACTTGAGAAAATAATATCATGTTTGAGGCTTGGCCTAGACCCAGCTCAAAAAAAGTCGGGACCTAGTGAACTTGAAGCCCAGTCCAGATCAGGTTCAAAGTGTACCCAGACTGAAATCTTAGGGGTAGGCTTGTAACAAGTTCAGGCTTGGTCTAAAAATATTTGATCTAAAAAAGTCTAGTTAAACTCGATTAACTTCTATTTTTGTTCACTGAAAACAGAAACAGTATACTTATAAAAAAAAATTAAAATATTAAATTTAATGGATGGTTTTAACAATAATTAATAGTAATAAAAATAGGTGTGGGCACATGCAAAGTAACTCAATCATTAGTTTGGTTAGGGGTCCATGACCATTGTTATTCTGTGAACATGGTGATGACCAAAAGCAACCGCATTTATTATTATATTATATTATTTATTGTTTTTCCTAATTATTTATTTGTTAATTATTTGGTGGGGTTGCGTTCTCTCTACACATGCTTTCCCTTACACTTCTTTACTCTATTATTCAATTATCACCAATAAATTTTGACATGTTCTTTATACTATTTAGAGATGTTCAAAATATATTAATAGATGCTAAGTTTATTTAAAATAAAAAACTAAAATGTAAATATAAATTCGAAATCCGGCTAACAAGATTGGAAGCGGTCACAGGACCATTTATAAGTTACATCAGCTATGGTTTTTTTTTCCGAGACGGATCGATTATGCTAAGACAAGTTTGGGAAGAACCGTTAAGGATCTGACATGATTAGAACCGCTTAAAGGCTTGGTCAAGTCGATTTTCCCTCACCTCTAAGAGAACCATGAAAAGGTTTATCATTATAGACGTAATCAAGTGAGAGCCACAAAAAAGTTGAGAACCATAAGATTTACTAATTACTTGTTCTTCTTATTCTCGAACAATAAATACACATTAAAATTGTAAAATAGAACTGCTTTTTCACATTGTTAAATAACAATGACTACAGGTTCTTATGATTCTCAAATTTTTTGTGATATATTCTCACTATTCATATACATATACATATATATATATATATGTATATATATATATATATATATGTGTGTGTGTGTAATGTGTTTTGTTTTGGCTTCAATTTCATGAATTTATTTTTAGAAGTTTTATTTTAGAGAATGTATCATGTATTTAATATAATTCAGGGAACATATTTATATATTTGATACAATTAAGAGAACGTATCATGTCTTTGATGCAATTGACAGAAAACACTATGTATTTAACACAATTAAGTTTATGAACAAAAAGTTCATGTATATTAAGGGGGTGTTTGAGATTGCTTATAAAAACAATTTATTGATTTATTCCGGTGTAACACATGTAATACGTACTTTTGAGTGTTTGGATAAACAACTTATGCCCGTGCCAAACATGTAATAAGCAATTTTTGAAGAAGTTCAACATTTCTGACTTATAATAAGTTGATAAGTGTTTTTGTAGAAAAATACAAGTTGTTTCAAATAAGCAATCCCAAACACCCCCTAAGTTTATATACAAACAAAAAAAGTATTGAATTTCTTATTTAAGATGTCTTGTAATAGACATCAAAAGAAAACTTTCAATATATGTTTCTCAAAAAGAAGAATCGTCCCATAAAACGTTCATCTAAAGGCCAGTTGCTCGTTATTCTCATGATAAAATAAAAATAGTCATATAATGGAATACAACAACTACAAGTTTATAAATTTGTCTGGTTATCCTTTCAAAAAAAAAAAAACAACTACAAGTTTTTGTCATACTCATACGTAGATGAATTATTGGAATTGGTCTTTTCGGTAGGCAAACAATGGACCCTATATACAAACAAATGCAAATCATTGATTTAAACAAGTCTCCATATCATGACGCGGTTACATGTGCCGTCACTCTGATTATGATTAAAACTGATTTTCAACATTTGCGTATATTTGAAAAATATTGAATTTGTAATACATGATAGTTTGCATATTCATTGTGAATTTATCTTGTTTAACAACGTCAAGAAGTCTCAATTTGGATGTAACTCGTTTTCTTGTCGGTTTTGACCTATTTACAAACATCAAAGGTTTTTATAATTTGGAATGAGCACTTCATATCTTATATCAACATAACACGATCTTGAATCATTGTCTTATTGTTATCTGTTATGAATCTTTTACATAATTCGAACATGTATAACTATTGATTTAGATCTTGTATATTTAATCAGTTAAAAATCAAATATCTATGATTATGAAGAAAAAATCTCAACCAATTATCAAAAACTTCATTCTATAGACAAGACTAGAAATTTGTGTGATTGTAGTGTACAAATAAAATAAAGAGGCAAATTCCAACATCAACATGTTTTAGCAGCATTTTTTATTTTGTTACTAAAAAAAACAAATACGTTTTTGAATTTTATTATTTTGATTGTAAAAATATGTGACAAGTTAACATAATCGAATTATTTTTTTAATGAATTTTGAAAGGTTAACAAGTATATAAATTTTTGGGGAAACTAAAAGAAAATAGTCATTTTCATGTTCCAAATTCGTCAAAATTAGTCATTTCTCACCGGAGATTTCTAATATATCACTATTGCCGCAAGTGACACCTCCGTGACTTGCGGAGGTGCTAAAAGACAAAGAAAAAATCACTTTTCATCCAGGTCCGCAAATAGCACCTTTGCAAGTGGGTGAAAATTGAAAAAGGAAAAAGAAATCATCTTTTCACCCAGATCTGTAAGTAGCACCTCCCGCAAGTGGGTGGAGAGTTTTTTTTTTTGGTTTTAAGAGCATTGCCAACAGCTTCTTCAAAATGAAGAAAATGAGGATTTTGAATCAACATTTTGCTCTAACAACTTTCCAAAAACTATCTTCAAAATGAACAAAATAGGAGAGACCTCCAAATATGAAGAACGCTCCAAAAATAATTACTAATTGAGACCACCAATAAGAAACTTTGAAAATAAATATTTAAAAAGAAATAATATTTTAATGTTATAGTCACAAAATAGAGAATCTGTTGGTTATGAATATAAATTTTTTAATAAATTTTAACTTTTGGTTCTCTATTTTAAAGATGTTCTTAACTCATACATGAGTCACAAAAATACCATTTGCAGAAGTAATGAAATTTTTGAAAAATTACTAAAAAAAACGAATTTGATTTCTAAAAAGGGAAAATTGCACCAAAATGGAACCAACTTTCATTTGATTCCTATTTTGGAGAACCAACTTTCAAAATCGTCATTTTGGGGAACCAACTTTCACCTGATTCCTATTTTGTAGAACCAACTTTCAAAATCGTCATTTTGGAGAACCAACTTGCACTTGATTCCTATTTTGGGGAATCAACTTGCAAAATAATTATAGAAAAATAACTAAAATTCGTTTTTTTTCAAAAATTAATGCAATAAAATCTATTTTTCATTTCAAATCTCGTTTTTTTAAAATTCAGATATCAAATTGAAGATTTTTTTTAAAAAAAAATCAAAATTACCACAATAAAAATTGTTTTCTACTAATGCAAAAAAAATCAATTTAATAGAAACAAAATTAATTGATGTAATAAAAAAAATATATTATCACATTCTAAATTTAAAAAAACGAGATTTGAAATGAAAAATATATTTTATTGCATTAATTTTTGGAAAAAAACGAATTTTAGTTATTTTTCTATAATTATTTTGCAAGTTGATTCCCCAAAATAGGAATCAGGTGCAAGTTGGTTCCCTAAAATGACGATTTTGAAAGTTGGTTCCCCAAAATAGAAATCAGGTACAAGTTGATTTCTCAAAATGATGATTTTGAAAGTTGATTCTCCAAAATAAAAATCAGGTGAAAATTGATTTCATTTTGTTGTAATTTTTTCTTCTAAAAAACCATTATTTTCATGAATTTCCTAATATTTTGATGATTTTAAAAAGAATATTAACATTATGTTCCTTTAGCTTTTTTACAGTTAAAAAAACCCTGCAACTTTTGGCATTCCCAACGGGAATTTTCAAAAGTCAAAAAGAAAAGCACTTTGGCTAAAGACACCTTCATTCTCCAGTAATGGACGGAGGATGTTTCATATCTACGTCTAAATAAACATTTCTTATTTTTAAAATTAATATACTTTTTAATGAATTGAATAAAATATTACAAACAAAAAAAGTAAAATTAAAATTAAAATAAAAAATAAAATTAAAAAATAAGTGTGATATTTCCTATATGCATTCATTTATATCATTATGATTATTATATTTATAAAAACAAAATCAAATGAGACAGCAGCATGGGCATCATTGGTGAGTCTTCTGCAAAACCGGACCAATCATTCTAAGCTCAAATCTCTTCACTGCTCCGGCAGCCTCCCTCATGGTGGTATCCACCACATACGGTGTTCCCCCCACGTTCACCTCCGTTGTGTTCTCCAACTGCCGACATGGCTCCCGCCTCTCCGATATCGTCCCATGGTAATGGTAATACATTATCTTCCCTTCCGTTTTATGTATCGTTTTTCCCTTCACGTTTTGCGACATGTGTACCCCCGTTGCAAACACGTTCCTCGGTTGGATAGCGTATTTTCTGTCTCTTCTGATTCCTCTTTTCGTATCTCTGTACACCAACTTCTCAATCCCCCATTTCCTGCCACATTTTTATTAATCGTTATTACCAAACAATCTAAAAACGTCAAATCAAATAGCCACCAACCGAGGTCCCATCCTCGGGACCCAATCGAAACAATCTTTAACGAACACCACATGAAGAAATGGGCATAAAGCCAAAAACCACCATACCAACCAACCCATTTGATGCGTTGTATTCAATTGCATGTTTTATGTTTTTACCCAACTCTAAATCAATCATCAAAGTTACTGAAAACAAAATCCCTAATTTCAGCATTCAGACAGAGTTGTTGGCGTATCAATAATGCCTCACATTTTGGAAACTTTTTCGATTTAAAATTATGCCAATTGGGAATCCAATATCATTAGATTAAGAACCCATGTGAGCTGTCCAACAATGGTCAAGCACCAATTTATGGTTTTAGCCATCGGTGATGGGTCAAATTCAAACCAGATTCCAAACACTAAAAACAACTATGAATGAATCGAAAATGGTGGGATATGTACCTGTAAATTTTTCCCACATTGTCGTCGAGGTAGCAAAGCTTGTTAGACATGGTTCTTTGTTCAATGGTGAACTGGGTGTATTGTAACAGAGAATCTGTAACGGTTTTAATCGTGTCCTTCTTTGGGACGAAGATGAACTCATCGACGTCGAAGAAGAACATCCATTTGGTCATGAATCTGTATCTATGTAAGCAATCATTCACGATCAAAAATTGATTATGATAATACCCATCAAATCTCTCCTCCTCCCTTATGTCCTGTAACGTAACGTAACCCTTTTCGATCCACGGCTGTAAAACCTCCATTACCTCCGGGTGAACACCGCCGGCGTCGTGTATTACGAAATGGGAATTCTCTCCGAACATCTTCACGTGGTAAGCCAGCCATTCACGAACCCTCTGCGGACTCAGCCCGCCGTAAAGCGGCGAGCCACAATACAAGTAATCGTACTTGGGTGGCGCTGTGAATTGCAACGGGTTTAAGCTTCCCGGAGTTTCCGTCAATGCTTCAATGGTGTCGGTGAGGTCAAAGTTAGAGTCGCCACCGCCGGAGGTGGAGGCGTGGACGAGCAATTGTCCGCCACCACCGTCATGACCAACAGGAGACGGAAAGGTGCAGTTGACGACGACGACGGTGTAAACGCGGCCGTAGCCCCAGTCAGGGAGGATCTTGTAACCAGGGACAGTGATGTTGGGTTGGTTATCAGTGGCGTTATGTGGAACCCATTGACAAAGGTAGGTCGGCTTAGCGAAGACATGTAAGGGTTTAGAAGAAAGTCCGATGACGGCAAAGGTGTTGCCACCGCCTCTGTACGCCGACATGAGTATGAAATTGTAAGCGGCAGAGCCATAGCCATTGAAATTCCTTTTAATCAAACCACCTTGAAGAACAACATCTTGGAGTTTGTTATGAACCGGTGGCGGTGGCGGTGGTGGTGTGACAAGTAGTTGGAGGGCGGAGGAGGGCGGTGGGAAGGAGGCGCAACCAGTGAGATCTCGGAAAGATGAAGGGAAGAATTGGAAGAGGGTTATAAGAGAACACAGAAACAGAAGGGCAGATAACAAAAGTTTAAGCTCAGCAGCACAATTCCAAACAACACCAATCAACATCTTTTTATCTCTCTGATTAGGGATTTGAATTTGATCATTGTCTTTCACCATTTTCAGAGATCAAAAGAAAGAAGATGAAGATGATGATGAAGATGAGGAAGAGTATTAGGGAAGCACCATCCCCATTTTAGCAGAGGGAAAAAGTGAAAGTGTGAGTATTTGAGGGCAGGCTAGCAGCAAATAAAATAGGAAGGTATTCATATTTAATAATTACATTACCACTTTTTTTTTTCCCTTTTTTTAATTATAAATAATGATTAAATTATTTAAATGAGTATTGGGGATTGACAGTCACACACATTGCCAGCGTGTTTGTATGTGTTTTTGGGGTGGGGAATCTAAAGAGATGTCCACACTGTAGGTCTACTTTTTTACCATAATTGTAATGCCAACTTTTAGTTTCTATGTTTGAAAATGGACATTATTCCAATAATATTCAAAAAAAGGCATCAAATTCTACAAGATATAGTCTCAATTTCTTTTTATTTTATTGATGTCTTTTAATCGTTTGGATTAGTTCGCACATAAGAAAACGTTGGTACAGAGGTCAGAGATCGGTGGGTTGTAAAGATTGTAAGCAGTGAGCACTCGGTTATAATATAATGTAGTAAAACGATTGGTGAAACAATGATTGAGGAGGATGTCGATTACACATCAAACATCTTCTTGTTAAAGTAATGGGCATCTTCAACTGGTGTCGACTTCGTGAGACTAAACATTGTAGTATCGATGTACTTTTTGAGCAAGTATGGGTTCCATCAACATGTGACTTAGAGTGTACACAACTCCTAGAACATTCAATAAGATCAAACTTTTTTTTAGTTCACAATATAATCGAGGTTTACATTGTTTTAACTAAAAGATGATCGGGTAATGATTATCTTAGCGACGTTCTCAACCTCTTTCTTAGGATGAAGGTCCTCTAGGGTTCGGGTAACATCGGTATTAGGTGAGATGGTCAAGTGCCTTTTAACCACTCTCGATGTTATCACAAACACCATATGGCATGTACCAAGCTCATCGAGTATGTACCTCGTCCAAGGATTTGATTGTTTTTTGATTTATTTGGATTTGGTACCAGAGCTTTGCAAAATACTATGATAGGAAAAAATCTTCTACTTTTAGAAAAGATATAAATTGAGATGTAAAGAAGTGTTTTCTTGATATATGATCATTTTTTTTATATTTTTAATTAAGATAAAGACGAAAATGTTGCTGTTAATCAGCAAATTTTTTGATAGAGTTAGTAAAAGGGACTTAAGGAGTGACAAAATGCAAACCACAAAAAGATCGTAATAAAATGAACACCAACAGGATCAAGAATGTAATAAGTTGAGTTTAGGGAATGCAATTAGGAATGTGAATGAGACCCGACCCGTTGGGGAACTCGGTCCACCTGCCTGGTTTGGGACAGATATTCCCCGCTAAACCGTGGATGGGTCCGGGACGGGTATCGCCCGCCCCGCCCTGTCCCGTAGCCTTTGTATATATAAATTAATGAATTAAATATATATTATTTATTTCAACTAAATCGGTATTTCATAATTTCTTATTTCCTAACTAGGTTTAGAATCTAAAATTGTTGTTTTTTTATATGTTAATATTTAATATTTTGGATGTCAAGTCAAAATACAGTTACTCGTTATGTTGTGGATAATATTCGATAAGTTTTGGTACGTGTGACGTTAAGTTTTTTTAATTAAATTGAATTTCTTTTGGTTTTAGGTTATTAATTATTATGTGATGTTGCATTTTTTTTGTATTACATTAAACTTCTTTTGATTTTAGGCTTATTGGAGATATGTGATATTTAAACATGTATGATTAGTTTACATAAAAAGGAAAAAAATCTTCGTTCCCTAATATAGCGTTTGGTACGCAGACATGATGGGATAGGACACGACAAGAGGGTAGTGTTAGTGAATTCCCCAAAACCGAAATTTTGAGTTTTGCGTCATGAAATTAATTAATAAATAAAAGACATTGCCCGTTTATTATGTTTATATTATATTCTATGTTTTAATTATTCATAATAAATAACCTTAGAATAATGTATTCTAAATGTCCCTAGTTAAATATTATTTCAGGTTTACAGTTGAAGTAATATGATAATAACTAGCATATGTATAGATTCATATAGATATACTGAATCTATATATAGGTACGATGGAGATATTATGTAGCGGACGTGACTCGCTATGAGAACATTGCATTGGATGTCATGCAAGTGTAATAAGTGTTTCTCATCTGGTCAATGTACATGTAATTCCTTTACTTGAGAACATGGAGTTTGTTGTGTGTGAGTGACGTATTTTAACATTTATTCTAATCATTCCGTAACTGGGTGACATAATGATTATTGGGTATTTTTTATATTACATGGTAGAATAACATGTATCAAGATAGGATTTGTCCCTCCTTTTATGACGAGAGTGATGTCTCTGGGCCCTTGATAAATATATACTAAGGGAATGCATGCATGCTTAGACAATTGATTTGAGATATCATGATATGTTTTATCAATATATTAGGGAATCAAGAAACTAGAGATTGAACATAACGAGAATGACATATTCAACGTCTTGTGTTCAATATGGACATTAAGGACAAAAGAATTAATTGCATAAACTAAAATTGACTGCAAACCGATAATTTGTTGTGTCATAGATGCTCGTTATTTGGGTGGCGATGATGTATTGCTAGATGCCGCTCATCATTTACAAATATAAATACGATATTTATATTTATTATCAACAAGTCGAGAACTCATTGGGTGACACATTTTGAGCATATATGAATAAGGAGTTTCAATAATCAAAATGTTTAATTATTATATCAAATTCGTATTGATTTAATCTGATTAAATAAAATCAAATATTATTTTTGTTGGATATAAATTGGTTGACTAGAGATGGTCTTCTAAAGAAGAGTAATGTTGTACGACCACTCTTACACTCAAGTAAGGTGTAAAGAGAATAGTGGTCTTATGATAGTTGCTCTTGCAATTTTCTCTCTAAAATCACTTACAACACATGATCCATTTTCTTTCTAACTTCTGAAACTGTGATTAGCATCACGAGAAGGAAAAAGATTCAGATTGTTCGCGTGGATATCGTGGAGGCATCAAGTCTTGTTTGTTGTTATTATTCAAAGTCTCTCTAACAGTGAAGTATAATTTTGAAACACCTGATTTATTCCGGTTCGTATGGGTCATTGGAGGGTTAAGGTTTTATTTTTCATTATGCTTGAAATCCCGTAACCCAACAGGTAGGACTGGACGAGACAGGACTGGATAGAACAAATTTCTATCTTGTGTTTGGTATGATTAGGACTGGACGGAGTAACACTAGACAAGTTGTCCCCAAAAGTTATTTGATGATTTCAAATATTATATAATAGTTATAACTAACACAAATAAAATAAATAATTAAAGAATGCAATTTATAAATATTTTAATACAATTTTCATATAAATAAATTCATACATATATAATGGTACAAATTTGAATGAAAAAATTGATATAATTGATGGTAATAGTGGTAGTGATGGAGGTGGTGTTGGTTATGGAGGTAGAGGCAGTAGTGATTGGTGGACGACGGTGGTTGTGGAGGACTTGAAGATGGTGGATTGTGGAGGTGCTGGCAGTTGACAATGATAGAGGAGCTAGTTGTGGCCAATGTATTGAATGTAGTGGTGAGGGTTCTGGTGGAGGTGAGGTGGCAATGGACAGTGGTGGTCGGTGGTCGACGATGGTTATGGAGGTCATGGAGGAGGTTGTTGCAGTAAAGCAGGAGTTGGAGGTGGCCGGTGGTAATGGTGGTGGCAATCGACGGTGGTGGTGATTGTGGTTGTAGAGGTGGCAATGGACAATGGTGGTCGGTGGTCGAAGTGGTTGTGGAGTCATGGAGGAGGTTGTTGCGGCAGAGGAGGAGTTGGAGGTGGCCAACGAAGATAGTGTTGGTGGCAATGGATAGTGGTGGCCGGTGACCGATGGTGATTGTAGAGGTGGTAATGGACGGTGGTAGTCAGTGGTTATGGAGGTGGTGGAGGAGGTTGTTGTAGTAGAGGAGGAGTTGAAGGTGGCCAACGATGGTAGTGGTAGTGCATTGAACAGTGGTGGTCGGTGGTCAACTGTGGTAGAGGTGGTGATGGACGGTGGTTGTGGAGGCGGTGGAGGATGTTGTAGTGGAATAGGAGGTGGAGGTGGCCGGTGGTGATCACTGATGGTGGTGGCGGCCGAAACTAGCGGTGATGACTATTAAAACAAATACCATATAAGGTTATATATTAAACTATGGTAGATTAGTAATATTTTAGTTTTTGTCTCATTCTTGTCCTATCTTATTCTATCTGTTTTGGTAGAACAAGAAAACACCTCTTTTGTCCCATGTTGTCCCACCTTGTCCCAGTTCTTGTCTTTTTTCCATGTCGCGCCAAATGTGGGACAATGAGTTCTTGTTTGTCCCATGCTACGCCAAACGTGAGACAGTGAATTTTGTCCCGTTTTGTCCTATTCCATCCCATGTACCAAACATAGTCTAAAGAGATGGAGATGGGGATGTGATACATATTCCCCTGGTGGGACGAGAATGGGGTTGGGGACGAAGATGAGAGATCTATGATGAAAATTGAGGTATCCGCTTTATTCCCATGCCCAAGTGCAATCATAATATTCACCATAATATAAGGACCAAATGCATAATTCACTCATTAATACATGTGTTTATTAAGTTTTGCTATATATATTTCTTTTTTTTTATTAACTTGGATATTCAACCCGCTATACGAGTCGACTAATCCCAGGGTGATCACCTGCTTCGTAGATTGACCGGAGTCACCGCATTTGAACCTTCGTAGCCATAAAGTGATTTTTATTTCTCCTTGAATTTGAACCAAAGACCTCATGGTACTTTTGACATTTGAAGTCAAGCTCAAACCAATTAGACACCACCCTTGTGGTTAAGTTTTTCTATATTACAATTGTATGTTACGTGCCACATAAACAAGCATAGGTTTTATACAAAAAGTTTAGATGTTTTGTTTTAGAGATTTAATTGATTTATAATTATATTGCAAATAATTAGGAAAATGCTTAATATCATGATATTACCGAAACTTATCATGTGAAAATTTTCAATTGTATTGAATTCTACACATATCAAGAAGATTTATTGA